CGAAGTCAAGACCTGCAGAAAGAATATGCAGATAAAAAAGGAAGAGGCAAAGTAGAAAGCTTCAAGGTTGGGGACCTGGTTTCATAATCTTCATACACATGCTGCCTCTGCTATCTTCAGGGCGAAGCTTCGTCCACGGTTTATCGGACCGTTTAATGTTGTGGCCAAGCGGGGACGGAAGTCGTTTTGTTCCAACGAACCTAGTTGCAGCGTCTAGCGGATACGCAAGCCTCGTTGAGGCAATAATCGATTGGAACTGTAAATATTCTCAATCTTAGAGGGGGGGGTGTAACGGGGTTACACGTACCCTGGTAACAGGGGTGTATGAATTTCCTTGCCTTGAGTTAAGGTTTTAACTACTCTTGGGGGTAGCGGATTGCGATTTGCTACACTTGTACTGGTTCTTGTGAAGAACGTAAGTTCGGTGGCGTAAATTACGCTTCCTCTAAGCACAAAGCCACGGCAGCCCCGCTGCATTCGACTTCTGTTGCTTCAGCTCTGAAATACATTTCTTCCACATGTACTGCGCGAGCGGTCTACTAGCCTGACGGCCTCTAGCACGTTGCGCTACTGTTCGTCTATGTATGACCGACTTCATGAACATCTCACATATTATCGTCCAGAGAAAGAAATATACGTTTCTCTTAACTTTCTCACACTTTGTTTCATACAGCTCTGGTGACTTCAGTGATAAAGTAAGAAATCACCACGATCGACTTTATCTAGATCGACATTACTTCAAGCGCTGAGCGATAAATCAGAACCTATCGTACTCGTTAAACGTTCCGTATACTCAACTAGCTTGGTTGTCGCTTAACAACATATCTGAATTATCATCGTCTTCTTGCTCTAAGCTCTACACATCATATTATAGCAGCCAAATTGGTGCTTATCTTGCAGTCGACCTTCTGATTGTACAGCATATTTTGCTTTATCTTGCTTTTGACTGGGACTTTCAAATATTTGGAACATCTTGGCCTCCATGCCGTAGCTCAAGTGTTCAGCCTTGGTCTGGTGCAAGTAAGAGCACCTCTCTGGTCATCTTCACCTAGCAAACCAAAGCGGACATCCCTCCAAAGCGAGTAAAAGTGTAACCTTGGTCTGGTTGAAGTTAGAGCACCTCTCTGGTCATCTTCACCTAGCAATCTGAAGCGAACATCCCCAAAGCGAGCTAATGTGTAATGGGGTTACACGTACCCTTGTATGAAAGGGTGGGTCACGCAAGATGGTGTGACCGTGCAAAGGTGTGAATTGTACAAGTTTGTGTAATCACACAATGGTGTGTATACACCATAACAAGAAGCCACCACGTGCCAGTAGTATTGCATATTACAATATTAATTAGGTATTACTATGTAATTAGGAAACCAAGGGTGTTAGATACTGGCGGCTTTGCCGCAACTAAAACAATTAAATACAGTTTCATTTTTGAACTGAAGTGTTCGTTTGCCTTGGTAAGGATCTAGCTTTTAGAAGTAGCGAATAACGATCCGCTACACTGGTTCTTGGTAAGTACGTAATGTCGGTGACCTTAGCTCAGCTTCCTCTACGCAAAGAGCTGCGGTAGCCCCGCTGTATGTATTGCATAGTGAAGCTACGGATTATTTCAATGGGTCCGTCACCCTTGTCAGTAGCAGTAAGTTATTATAATGAGTCATCATGATTGCCTAATTTGATATTTCCACACTTCTCTTCGGAACCGAGGGACAATCGCTGCAAATCTCGGATAATCCCACGTCCTACCGATAGCCAGCGCAATTTGTGCCGCGGCGAAAAAAGTCTGCTTCTGGTCGTGGTACATTTCAACTTATCTAATACGGGAGGTGTCTGCCAAATTATACTCAGGATGAAAACCCGTATCGTGAATCCACTTCTAGCACCAAACGGCTCTCCACACAACAAAAGTATCAAACACAGGTTTTACGGTTAATCGAATTTCGCGAGGTGCAGAGTTATAGTACTCGCATTTAGTATCAGTTACTTTTGATTGTTGAGATAGTTTCTCGGATATAGTTTTCTAACGCCCCTGCTTGTACTATGGCTATTCATGATTGATTTGCACGGCTGATCTACCCGAGCTGATTGATTCACACCCTCATAGAAAGCGTCGCCTCAAAGGGACTGGGTCCGCATCGATCGTGATCTCAACGAAGTCCAAAAGGAACCCTGTGTCGACTGAAAATCGACAATTTAATGCGATCAGCACTTACAGGAGCTGGGCTCTGTCTCTGTTTGTCAAACGACCGGAAAAAAGAGCTTAAATGTTTTGTACTCCCGAAGGTGTAGCGCTTGCGCCTATCATAATAAAGAGATCATTATCTTCACATCAGCCTAGCTGAGATCTATGTAGGTATCTTCAATTCTTCCAGCACCCAGAATTTATTCTCGAAGCTCGCTGATAACGTCAATAACTTCGTATGTATATAATTGTTTGTAATCCGGAAAAATGCGGTCATTTCCAGGAATTATTTATCTTGAATTCTTATTCCGAAGTGCAGTAGGACCCTCCTATCGTCGCTGAGGTGTGGCGCTCCTGGATGAGCAATAATATTGCATTTTCAAAGTTAGTAGGTATTAATGCAACCCCGTTGCTCATGGTAGCACAGGTAGTCAATTCTACGGCCAATCGTAAAGGACAATTTTCATTGTGGGATAGAACATATCATGTCTAGGTAAATATCCCCAATATAAGTTTACGAGCTTATCGTTGGTCAAAATGCTATGAGAGAGCTGATAGCAAAAAGGTCGAAGACAGCAATCACTTGTGTCAACGCCACTGAAGTCACCAAATCTCGCTGGTTCTGACAGCGCACACAGGCAGAGCCCAACTTCATCTCTCGCACGCGGTGCAACGTCGGAAAGTGCGCCCGCGGCATCGAGGGATGTAAATCCTAGGCTCAATGAGCCCGAGCGTCGCGCTCCGCGCGCGCTATCAATAACGAGTGTCCTCGTTGAGGATGTGGAGGTGGTCGACTACGAATCTGACCTTCCTTTTCCCGGGTGTGATGCGAAGAAGGCGAGCTGCGCCAGCGGCGTGAGACGTGCCCTGCTCGCGCCTTGCGGACCCCATGTCCGTTTCCTGGCCTCTCATCACCTGAGGGACGTGGACAACCGATGAGGCCCAAAAGTGGCAGCTGAAAGCTGCCCGTAAGGCGGCTCTGATGAGCGTCCATCCACGGCCGGTCATTGACTCTCGCGTGGTATATGGCTTCCTCCCGGCAGATCCCGTTGTGGAAGCGAAGGACATGGTAACTCTTTCGTTACGCCTCCACATCATTGGGCCTCCGGTCATTACGGAAGATGAGCCTGCCGAACGGAAAGCTCTTCGAGCTCGTTTCTTGATCCCACAAGAATTTCCGTTGGAAACTTATCGCACTCGTCTGCATGCTCAATGAGGTGGCTCTTGTGTACCCATAATACCTGTAGTGCTCGCCCCTGGCGAAAGCGCTACAGATGACGAAGCGCTTGTTGAGCGATGGGTGCAACAGCACCAGAAACTTTCCTAACTGCATAACTTACAGTTGAGCCACCAGGAAGTGGACGTGCGTGTGAAGCGACACCTCCGATTTGAGTTGGCCAACCTTTAGGCACGCCGTCGACTTCCTTCGGATTGTCGCCCTGCGACGAATGGGTCAATCCCTAACGCTCCCGCAAGCTCTGTGTCTGCGATCGCAAGAGCTCAGGGCTACTGCTTGAGCCCAGCTCATGGCCCTTCTACTCCCCTGGCTATTGCCGGGAAGCGCGGGACGTCCTGATCTTTCTGATCAAAAGCGTCCACGGCGTCTGGGCAATCTTGCCGAAGTGGCGTCTCAGACTCCCACGAGTTTTCGGAGTCGGGATATCCCCGCCACTTCACCAGATATTTGGTTTGACCCTGGTGACGACGTCGTCTCAGTAGACATTTCACGTGATAGTGGACGTCACCAGTCTAATCGAGAAGATTCGGTGCGGGCGGTGACGACTGGGTCGACCGCCGTCTGGTGACTCGTGATGCTCTTCGAGCTCTTGAGGACAAGGTCATTCGTGATCGGAGCTCCGCTAAGCGTCATGCTGGAGTAGCCTATCGCTGCGCGGACGCTCTTGAGGATTTGAAGCACGTCGCGCGCCGGCTGCCTCAACTACTGCGCTCTGTCGGAGCGACTCCTAACCGTGGGGCAGGCGGATGCGTCGCGTAATAAC